CTATCACTACCTTTTCTCTGAATATTTTGAAATCCATTATTTAGAGTTTAAAACACATCAGGACAATTCTCCTACTTATCAATTATAAAATTAAAGAGGACATAGTCATTGCCTCTCAAGATTTCCATCATTTATAACTTTATTAACAAATTCATCCTTTATTGGCAAGAATCAAGTTTTTATTGTTAACAGTTCCTCCTCTACCTTCTGAAAGATGAAATTATTCTGCAATCACAGCAGGAATTTGTCATATCTAGTTTTTAAAAAAAGATCTTCAGCATTAGTCTGGACAGCTGAAATCCTTTCTCACAACGATATCTCATACAATTTGTAACCTGAGTCAGAAACTTACAATCTACTCCTTCTTCTTCTTCTTAACCAGTGGTCTATACCTGGGATCAGTAAACTACAGCATGAGAGTTATAACCCACCTGTAGCCTGTTTCTCTACTGAATCCTGGTCTATACTATTGTAACAAGGGCTATCCCAAGAAGGTTGCCCAGAGTTCCCTTACCTCCTTCTGGTTCACCATGCAGAAGCTTTGGAATCTGCGTCAGGTCATGTGCTAAACTAATTTTTATTTATTTTTTTAAAGTATGATGTAGTAGATATATATGTAGTAAATGATGTAGTAAAGCCTTGAGTGGTTCCTCAGTTCTCCCTGATCCCATGATAGTGGCATAGGACAGAAGACTGGACCAGTTAAAAGAAAACAAAGATTATGGCTGATGATTTCTTGCTTCTACACTCCACGTGGCATTATGTAACTCTGAGATTTCTAGTGAAGAGGTGCATAAGGGCTGGCTTTCTTCACATCAGAATTATGACAATCTCATGTGGCAGCTCAACCAGATGACTTCTCACCTGTGCCCTTGGGTCTCATTTCCTCTTTCGGTCTTTCCAGATTTTAGGTGAATGAGTATTCTTTGATGTGAACATGTCTAGACTCGAAGGCAATCTCAGAAGTCTTGGGACCCATCTGGTCTGAGCTGAATCACAGCAGTGGAAGAGTCCCTAACAACTACGCCACTGCTTTCACACAGGTCAAACACCAACAAAATGACTCACACAAATCTGGCTATTTTACCACCAGACATGTTCTGAAAGTTGTCTGGAGAATTCAGAACCAAAGTAAAAATGTGAAATGCCTAATAAGCAATCATCTAAATTACTCTGTATTCTGGAGATTTAATGATCACCATCCCAAGATACCATCATAACTGTTTTGAGTTACTAAATCCTATTTTAAGTCTGTCAATGCACGATGCCTTTTGTGTTTAGCACTGTGTGTGTGTGTGTGTGTGTGTGCGTAAAAGAATAAATCACCTGTCTCATATAATTCCTACTGAACATTAAGTATCTTTTTATTTACACAGTTAGTATTCCAAACCAAAAAGATACTTCATAGAGTCAGATGAAATAATTTTTAAAAATTCATTTGATCCGGCTAAGAAATAGAGTTGTGGATCAGTGGAATAGAAGAGGTTCATATGACATTATAGTAAATGACCACAGTAGCCTAGTATATGATAAACCCAAAGATCCAAGCTTTTGGAACAAAAAATCACTATCTGACAAAAATTTCTGGGAAAGCTGAAAAATAATATGTCAGAAATTATGTACAGAACAACATCTCACACCATGTGTCAAGATAAGGTCAAAATGGATATGTGATTTAGTCACAAAGGGTGATACCATAAGCAAATTAGTAGTGCTTAGAATAGTTCATTTAGATCTACGTACAAGGGAAGAATTTAGGACAAAAGAAAATATAGAGAGCATTACAAAATATAAAACAGATAATTCTGATTATATACAATTAATAAGTTTTTTTTTCATAAAGAGAATCAATACAACCAAAATTAGAAGGAAAGCAGAAAACTGGGGGAAAATTTGCAACAAGTATCTCTGATAAAGGCCTCATTTCTCAAAATATAGAGAACTGAGTCAAATTCATAAAAAATAATTTCCCAATTGATAAATGGACAAAGGATATGAATAGGCAATTTTCAGACAAAGTAATCAAAGGTATCCATAGTCATATGAAAAATGCTCTAAATTGCTATTAATTAGAAAAATGCACATGAAAACAAGTACCTGAAGCTACCATCTCACAACTATCAGACTGGCTAATAAAACAAAAGATGTTGGAGGGGATGTGGAATCAGGATAATGTTGTACACAATAACAGCAATATTGTATGATGAAGAACTTTGAATGACTTGGCTATTCTCAGCAATACAATGATCCAAGACAATCCCAAAGGACTCATGATGAAGCAGGTTATCTGCCTCCATAGAAAAAACTGATAAGTGCCTAAATACAAACTGCAGCATGCTTTCTTCTTGCTTGCTTTTTTTCTTTCTTTCTATTGGAGTCTTCTTGTACAAAATCACTAATACGTAAATGTTTTACATGATTGCACATATATAACCTATATTGGATTGCTTACCATTGGGGGAGGGGGGAGATGGGGATATTATTTTAACATGTAATTGGGGAAAAATAAAATATATAAGAAAAATTCATTTGGAGTAACAAGAGGTCTATATCTCAAAGAAAATAATTTTTAGAAGTATGAATGAAGGAGAAATAGTAATGTTTACATCTCAAAATCTGCTATACAGCAATAATCATAAAAACTTTCGGTATTAGAGGAGTAGAACAGTAGAAAAGACCAGATAAAGAAGAATCAAAAACAAAGAACTCAAAAACTATTAGTTATATTTGAGAGCATAAATTACTTTGGGAAGAACCTTTTTATAGAATTGTTGGGAAAAAATGGGAAAGACGACTCAAAGAAATTAGGTTTAGACCAACATCTTAAACCACATACCACAATAATCTCAACCTGGATACATGACCTGAATATTAAAGTCTACACCATTAAAAAAAAATTCAACAAGTATCATATGAGGTATCTTTCACACCTAAAGATACAGAGAATTTCTAATAAGGAGGGAGAAAATGTTTTTTATTAATTGAAAAAAATCATAATTTAAAATATGTAACTTCACAGTTTATAAATATAGCGTAAGTCAGCAATACTGCTATTAGTTCTGTACACTAAGGAGATCAAAGAAATAGGAAAATGTGGTGCATTTTTTTAAATAGAAACTAAGAGGGAGCATCAATTAGATACTCATTTTTGTACATGAACAATATATGAATTAGTTTTGCTTATTTAAGCTTATTTGTTTAAAAGGGTCTTTTTAGCTTGTTTTTGTTTGTTTTTCAGTGGGGAATGGGAGAAGGCAGAGGGGGGGATAAATGCTTGATAGTTAAAAGAAAAATAAAATTATATTTAAAAAATACAAAGAGAAAGCCAGTAGAATAAAAACTCCACAGGTCCAAAAACCAAGTTCCTATCAAATACATCCGGGGAAATGGTCTTTAGATGATAATATAATCCATCAAAATCTGCTAACTTCACCTTTGATACTTAAGGGTAGAAAGATACCAGACAGCTGGATAGACTGAAAGATCTAAATGTGAGCTAATGTGGTCATTTGTTGTTGTTCACCCTTGTTTTCAAAGAGGACCAATGACATGGGGTGATGTCTTGATTTGTGCGTGAATTGGATTTCAGTGAAGCAAAGTTACACAAAGTCATCAGCTTCACTCTCTTCCAATGTCAATGAAGTCCAGTAGGTACAAAAGTCAGGATGACTGGCAGTGGCCTGAGATACAGTGGATGACCCTGACATCTTCAACGTGTGACCAAGCTGTAAGCACTCCATAGTACCTGCTTCAGCTGCCTTCCTGGCTGTTGAAACAAAAGTTCTCATCTGCTCATTCCCCTGGGAGAAGTCTTCACATGCTATCCGCCTACCTCACCAACTGGCCCATCAGTTATCTGAGACTGTTATACTGGAATATGGCCACTGTGAATGCTGTTTCTTCTTGAAGCCACAAGTGAGAGTGGGAGGACAGGAAGACACCAAAAGTGGATGAGCAGCCCCAAAAAGGACTCGTCAAGCCCTCACACCAGAGATACTAGTTCTCCGTGAACACTTCATATACGCCATGTTTATGCAGCTAATGTGGTCAATTAAGTATTTACTGAACACCCCTTATACAATTAGTAATATGCTATACATTTTAATCTCAATCTAAAAGAAATCTCGACCAATATTAGCTCTATGATTCTGAATAATCTAGGTTCTAACTCCCGTTATTCAAGAATAGTTATAGTATATTATAAAAGTATTATACGCACACATAAACTAAAAATTTGATTCTATAAAAAATGAAGGCAATTGAATGTTACTGGTTAGACAAAAACCATAAAGAAATCTTATCTTAAATGTCACTATACAAACAGAATTAGAGGATTTGATTGTACTGAAAACAAGCTAACCAGATACAAGAAGGAATTCTCTGTAGAAGTAAGTCTCTTGAACCCCTCCCTACCAACCTACCACTCGCAGGATCATTTTAAGAAGCCACAGATAACCTGGAAAAAACAATTTTTTTCTTACAATTACTAACATTTTTGAAATATAGATGAAGCACCTACACACCTACACAGAACTACTGAAGACCACCATTTATTTTAAGGAGTCATTAGCAATAACAAAGTAAATGTTAAAGCAATATAATTTTTCATTTCCTGAAGTTTTCAAAAGCCAAATATATATATATATATATATATATATATATATATATATATATATATAAAATAAAAATACAGTTTTAAAAAAAATATAATAGTAATTTATAAATTATTTTTTTCAAATCTGCTTTACTCATTAGAAAAATTTTGGAAAGATAGACTTAATGAAGATAATTTAAATGAATTTTTAACACGTACTTAACTAAATAAAATACCTGACATTTGAAGTAGTTCTTTATGGCTTAAAAACATTTTACATATATTATTTCATTTAGTTTATTTCATTTCCTATGAAACAAGATGTTAGTTATTATAGGATCTTAGAAAGAATAGATATTTTCTTGACACTATAAAATATTAGAATCTAAGTCCATGATATACTTACATTATTGCAGTCTCCCAGGAAATACAGTGCAAATCCATCTGCTTTTGTGGCTGCCAAAGTAACAATAAAAGCAATAATTATTCTAAAAAGAAAATATGCATGAATTTTCAACGTTAAAACTTCAAATGTATTTCATTAAATATTTCTGAATGGATTTAGTGACATTTCCAAAATCAGTGATATCCTTGACTCTTAACTCTCTCATGTTCCCTATTCAAACAACTGCCAAGTCTCACTGATTCTACAATCATATCATCTCTCCCACTGGTCCTTCTCTCCCCATTGACATGGCTAGCACCCTTATTTAGACCCTCATCATACATCCTAACTGGTCTTCCTGCTTCCACTCTCTCCTCCTGCCAATGCATCCTCCACACTGCTGACTAAATTATCTTCCTAAAACATAGATTTGACTATGCCACTCCCCTGCTCAAGAACAGTTGGTGGAACAGATATTTCTTTACTTGGCATTTAAAATCTCACATCCTGCTTATCTTCCTAAACTTATTTTACATTACTCTCCCTTGTATGCCCTATGTTCAGCCAAACTGGCCAACTTGCTGTTGCCCATATTTGGCATTCTATTTTCCACCCTTATGTTTTTGCATAAGCTGTCAAACAGGTCAAGAATGTACCCCTTTAGAGTAATTACTATTGTTGTTGTTGTTATTGTTGTTGTTGTTATTATTATTATTATTATCATATCATTATTATTATTATTATTATTATTATTATTACAACATGTGTTTCAACCAGAAGAACAGATGCTCTCTGAGGGCAGGGATGGTTTTCACTTTTGTCTGTGTACTTCCCAGCACCTAAACATACCACCTTGTACATAATAAGGGCTTAATAAACATTTAGTAAAGCAAATTATTTAAGTATATAATGAAACAATATATAATGGCAAATCAAAGTCCCCCCTCAAAAAAAAGGCTCTTTATTTCCCTAAAACTATCATTATCATATTGTCAGTGGTCTATGATAAACTCCTAATATTAATTCTGAATTCCAACAGTGCAAGTAAAATCTTGGCTAACCAATATGTTATTGAGAGAATTTCTCCTAGACAGTCAAGTTTTTAAAGGAACTAAAGGCTTCATCATTTTAGTATGCAAACATCATTTAATCATTCTGGATGGAAACCTTTCTAAAACTTATCACACACCTCCCTCAGAGAATGTAAGTGGATTCTCCCAAAATCATATCTCTAATAGAATTACACTAAAGGGATGCTAACATTTTTAGTATCTCAGTACCCATACCTTCTAGGCACTTTTAGCCTTTCCCCTCAATGATACGGACAGTAAAATTGATGAGACAGTATGAAATCAGCAATGCAGGTGGCCCAGACCAGACTAAAATGTAAATGGGTCCCTACTTTTTGTAACTTTTTTGAAAGAGGGGACACTCCTATATGATAGATTCTGTACCAAGAAGAGAGAAACTACTTTGCCTTACTCATACTCCATTCTAGTCTCTTGCCCTATATTGACCTATTTTTTCTTATCTTAAAGGGCTGAATCAAGTCAGGGAGTCACAGATGTGTAATCAATCCAAAAGTGACATAAAAGGTGAATTCTAGCACAACGCAAGCCAAAGTGGCATCTTCTCCCAAAATTACAATGACAAAATTAAGCTGCTTGTTGAACTGAAAATAAATTTGAATAAGACATTGCTGTACTTAATTTTCAAGGAAAAGGTATGTCTAATAAGTGGAATGCTACCAGAACATACCATAATGTTCTTGGCATTATGCTGTTTTTATGACTTGCTTAGGAAAGAAACAATTGGCACAACTGACAATGAGAGATAGTTACTACATCAGGTAGGACACCAAAAGATCTTACAGGCTACAACTTCGGGTCAAATCTAGGGAGGTCAAATTTGACACAGGTTATACATGTATAGTGATGCAAATCACATTTTCATGTTAGTTATCCTGTGAAAGAAAAAACAGACCCCCCCCAAAAAAAAAAACGAAAAAGAAAGCAAAGAAAAAGTATCTTCAGGCTCTACCAGTTGCTTCTCTGGAGATGGACAGCACCTTTCATCATAACACCCACAGAATTGTCTTGGATCACTGTGTTGCTGAGAAGAGCTAAGCAGACATATAGTAGATCATCATCATACAATATTGCTATTACCATGTACAACGTTCTTTTGATTCTGCTCATTTCACTTTGCAACAGTTCAAGTAAGTCTTTCCACATTTTTTTCTGAGAAATCATTGTTTCTTAAAGCACAATAGTATTCCATCACAATCATATACAACAATTTGTTCAGTGATTCCCCAATTGCTAAACATCCCTTCAATTTCCGATTCTTTGCCACCGCTAAGAGAGGTGCTATAAATATTTTTATACACATAGGTCCTTCTCCTTTTGGCTTTTTATCTCTTTGGGATACAGATTTAGTAATGCTATTGCTTTTAGGGTTAGGGTTAGAGTTAAAGCACTAATGCTAATTCAGGGTTACAGTTTAGGATTAGGGTTAGGTTTTATAGCCCTTTGGGCACAGTTCCAAACTGTTCTTCAGAATGGTTGAATCAGTACACAAATTCACCAATAGCACATTAGTGTTTTAATTTTCCCACATCCTGGACCTCCAAACATTTGTCATGTTCCTTTTCTATCATATTAGCCAATTGGATAGCTGTGAGGTAGTAGTTCAGAGTTGTTTTAATTCACATTTCTCTCCTCAATAGTGATTTAGAGCATTTTTTCATATGACTATAGTTTTGTTACTTTGTCTGAAAACTGCCTGTTCATATCCTTTGACCATTTATCAGTTGAGGAATGGCTCTTATTTCTATAAATTTGGCTCAGTTCATATGTTTGAAAAGTGAAGTCTTTATCATGGAAAATCACTATAAAAATGCTTTTTTCACAGTAATGATTACTATGTATTCTCTCCATCCCATTTTCCCCATTTATCATACTCTCTTCACTCTCCTTTTACTCTATCCATTCTCAAAATGTTTTGATTCTGACTTTTACCTCCCCCAAACTACCCTCCTTTCTATCACCTCCTCCTCCCTTATCCCCTACTTTCCTGTACGGTAAGATAGATGTCTATACCCAACTAAGTGTCTACATTATTCCCTCTTTGAGCCAATTCCAATGAATAAGGTTCATGTGTTCCCCTCCCCACTTCCCCCATTTCTCCCACCACTGTAAAATCTTTTTCAGGCCTCTTTTATATCAGATAATTTATCCCATTCTACTTTTTCTTTTCCCCTTCTGCCACTGCATTCTTCTTTTTCATCCTTAATTTTTTTTTAGATAATCATACCATCACATTCAAGTCACACCTCTGCTTTCTCTCTATGTATACTCCTAATTGCCCTGATAATAAGAAAGTTTTAGGAGTTATAAATATCATTTTCCCATGCAGGAATACAAACAGTTTAACCTTATCAAATCCTTTATGATTTCTCTTTCCTGTTTACCTTTTCATGCTTCTCTTGAGTCTTACATGTAAAAGTGAAATTTTCTATTCAGCTCTGGTCTTTTCATCAGGAATGCTTGAGTCCTCTATTTCACTGAATGTACATTTCCCCCTGAAGTATTAGACTCAGTTTTGCTGGGTAGGTGATTGTTGCTTGTAATTTTAGCTCTTTTGCCTTCCACAATAACATATTCCAACCTCTCCAATCCTTTAATGCAGAAGCTGCTAAATCTTGTGTTATTCTGACTGTGGCTCCATGATACTTAAATTGTTTCTTTTTGGCTGCTTGCAGTATTTTCTCCTTGATCTGGAAGATATGGAATTTGGCTATAATATTCCTGGGAATTTTCATTTAGAATCTCTTTCATGTGAAAATCAGTGAATGCTTTCCATTTCTATTTTACCCTCTGGTTCTAGAATATCAGGACAGTTTTCCTTGAAAATTTCTTTAAAGATGATGTCTATGGTCTTTTTTTTTTATCATCACTTTCAAGTAGTCCAATAATTCTTAAATTATCTCTCCTGGATCTACTTTCTAAGTCAGCTGTTTTTCCAGTGAGATATTTCACAATGTTTCACTCTTTGGATTTTGTTTGTTTCTTGACATCTCATAAAGTCATTAGCTTCCACTTGCCCAATTCTAACTGTTAAGGAATTATTTTCTTCAATGAGCTTTTGTACCTCTTCCATTTGGCCAATTCTACTTAAAGAGTTCTCCTCTTCAGTGAATTTTTGTATATCTTTTTTTCCCATTTGGTCAATTCTGCTTTTCAAGGCATTCTTCTCTTCCTTAGATTCTTGTGACTCTTACCATTTGGTTTCTTTTGTTTTTTAAGGTGTCATTTCTTTGGTAGCTGTTGACTCTTTTTTCCTGATTTTCTTCCATCACTCTCATTTATCTTCCCAATTTTTCCTCTACCTTTTACTTAATTTTAAAAATCCTTTTTGAGCTCTTCCATGGCCTGAGACCAATTCATATTTTCCTTTGAAGCTTCGGATGCAGGAATTTTGACTTTGTTGTGTTCTTCTGAGTATGTGTTTGATTTTTCTTGTCACCATAGTAACTTTCTGTGATCAGAATTTTTTCTGTTGTTCACTCATTTTCCAGCCTATTTCTTGACTTTTAACTCTATGCTAAAGTGGGTCTACTTCCCAAGTGCAGGGAGCACTGTTCCATGCTTCAGGTTTTTTGTGCAGCTGTTTTCAGAGGTAATTCTGGGAACTTGTAAGTTTTTGGCTTTTCCAAGGTGCTATGATCTAGGGATAGGTGTGTTTACTATTTTACTGTAGTGTGCACTAGTTTGTAAACGACCACAAGCAGTCTTTTTCAACCCTGGAACTGTGACCAGCCACAAGCTTTGCTGTGCTAGCGCTTCTCCTCAACCTCAGACTACCACCCAGGACTGCAACGTGGATCCAAGTATGGGCAAAGCAACACAGTCTTGCCCCCAAGCCAGCAAAAAGACCCCTATAAGCTCCTTCTGACCCATATTCTGATCCCCTTATCATGTGTGGGCTGAGAGGTCTCAAAACTGCCACTGATTCAGCTGCCCTGAGGCCTGCTTCTGGTTTGCTGAGGCTTGGTCTGTACTAGAGTGACCAGTGCTGGACTGCTCTCCACTCTCACCTTTGTGCAACAGAGCTTTCCTGATGACAATCTAAGTTGTCTTGGGCTGGAAAATTGTTTTACTCCATCTCGTTTGTGGTTCTTCCACTGTAGAATTTGTTCACTGTAGAATTTGTTCAGAGTCATTATTTACAGGTTATTTGAAGAAGTTTGGGGGAGAGCTCAGTAGAGTTCCTGCCTTTATTCCACCAACTTGGTGGAATCCACAGGACAATGGAAAGACTCAAAATGGGTGCATGTAGATAGCAGCTTATTTCTAATGACCTATGTATCACCCAACCTTCAGCTATCATAAATCTCCCCTTTGCCTTATGAGTGATATCACAGGCATGCATAAATTCTAGACTGGATGACCTGCAAAATTGCTTCTTCATAGATTATGATATTCCATTATCTGTAGCCACACAGCCATTACCAGCAGCCACAAAAAATTACTTATTTTTAAAATATGGTCTAGAGTTACTATAAGGATTGCATAATCTCCTAAAGACAACTCTTTCTACTCTCTTTCTGTTTAAGCCTGAATCCACTTCACTGTTCATCCACAGTGTCCAAACTAACTCTAAGAGTTATTCATTCAAATGTATATTATTGTCTGGGACAACATTCTTCATCTACTTGGTTTTCCTATAGTTAAGGCAAATTCTTTTGAGTGAATATAGCCCTCACTTAAGAGGCTCTAAAACGTTCCAGGGCCTGATATGATCAGATAATGCCACATGTGAGCAACAGTTAGAGTCCAGATGTAATGTTTCTTCTGTCATTGCTAAAGAAAATAATTTACTATAGAAATATTTCTAGATCTTTCTTATTTTCTACCTGCTCGTGGTCCTCCAAGTTTCATCCAAGCAATCAATAAACATTTATTAAGTGCTTATTATGTCCCAGGCACTGTGTTTATTACTGGATCCATCAAACGCCTTTGTGATGAACTGGCTTACATAAGTCTTTCACTAATTTTCTATGGAATTTGAGATCACAGAGACCTAGATCTAGGAGGGACCAAAAGAGACCATTTAATATAACTCAGTTTTACAGAAGCCAGCATGGTCAAGTTAACTTGCTCAAAGTCACACAGTGACAAGAGGCACGATTTTAATCCATCCTCCAGCTCTAAAACCCATATACTCTTTGTATTATATCAGAGCCAAGTTTATTTTTCCTCTCTGCTACTTCTTATTCTTTTTGTGAGGCATCAGTCCTAATTCTTGACCATTCTACTCTGGAAGATCTTTAAAATGGATTTCTTTCTAAACCAGAGTTGTCCTTGGCTAGTCATTTCTATTCTCCTCAGTGTGGTAAATTATCTACATCAGGTAAGCTACCTTAAGAAAACATAAATTAAGGAAAATGAAGAATTCAGAAAAAAATGGGAAGACTCATAGGAACTGATACAAAGAAAAATCAACACAACCAGGGAATAATATACAACAATGGATATGGAAGAACAATAAACAACAAAATGATCAAAACTGAATACTGTAAAATTATAACAATCAAGCTGGCTAAAAAAAAAAAAGAGAGAGATATGAGAAGGTACTTCCCCTCATTTCTTTGCAAAGGTGAGGGAATAAAGGTATGGAAAACCATGCACAAGGTGCAGATTTTTCAATATTCTGATTAGTTTTGCTGCACTGGTATTTTCCTCTTTTTAAAAATGCTTTCCTCTAAAATACTACTTCCTCAGAGGGGGAGAGGTAAGGAATATACTTGGAAATACAGATGACAAAAACAAAAAGGTATAAATAACTAGACATATTTAAAGAAAAAAAATGGTGATAGTATAAATTGATAAAACTTTTGAGTGTAAAAGTCTTGTTTAAATATATCAAGCTGGAGTATTCTGATGACATGATTCATCTTTCATTTGTATCTTTAAATTTGGTATTTATTTGATTTTTGCATTAACAAGTCCATGGTTTAAACAGAGGAACTCTAATCACAAATGTCTTCCACATCCACAATCAGTTTTTTGTCTTCTAACATACAACTAATTTAATTATCTGTGATGTTATTTGGAATTTGCCAAATTTGTTCAGCCCATTCCAATTTTCCCCTTGAAGAAAAGAGTCAAATTATGTAGGAATGAAGTTTCTGTTGAGCATGAATGCTGTTGGTCTCTTTGCTTTCTTCCTTCTGAACTATACTGTCTAAAATGTTTTCTAGATTTTCTCTCCTATAGTAGCAGTTGCCTTGAAGACTTATAATACTGTAGTATTTACTGATTTAACATGAAGAATCTTATCAAGTACTTGGCAGAATTCCTCTCCCTCCTCTACAACAGATATTAGCACATAAACTACAATTACCTTCATGATGGTGTTCTTGCAAATACTTGTAATAAGCATTACAATATAAGATGACAAAATATTCCATGAAATTATGTTTCTGGCTGCCCCATGACTCATAAGACCAGCTCTGGTACCTCCTTGTTTCTTCAAGATTTGTGAGCCATTTTTCCATTTGGCTGTAACTTCCTTTTGTTTTTGGTTTTCATCTAAAGTTCAGTCAATACTGCTATGTGGTACATTTTACATGTAGTATACTTTATTAGTACATCTACTTGGTCACCAAGTTTATTTTACAGAGAGTCTAAAGTTGTGTGTTTGTTAGTATAGTACCTACTGTCGTTTTTCCAACACTGCCTCTATCCATGCAGAAGGTGAAGGGGATTATATAGAACCAAAGGGTTCTTTATTTTCTTACCTATTTTGATGAGTCTACTCAATTCATGCAGCAGTAGTTGGCTGTCTCTTCCTGTATCCAACCGTTGTTCTACACACACACACACACACACACACACATATAACATACACCTAGTTTTCTCATGTTGTCTTGCCCATTAGAATGTCTACTCTTTGAGGTCAGGGGCCACATTTTTTCTCTTATTTATGTGTTTTGTACTTAGACCAGTGCCTAGCACATAATAAGTGCTAATATTATTGGCACTAATTGTAGATTACTATTGCCAAAGAATTCATGACCTATTATGCAGCCTATTAGTGGTATGCCTCTATATATTTAGCTAAATGTCTTAAAAAAAAAACAGACATAATCTATTGCTGAGGCTATACTCAAATCCTTTCTATCATCATAGAACGTGCTGGAGATTGTTTTCTACTGGCATAGTGTATAATAAACCCAGGGTCAACTCCATGTCACAATACTGCATCTGAGTAGTTTTGTGGAGGGTTACTTGAAGAAATTGTGCTATTTCCATTTCTAGGATGTATATTTATTAGAAAATATACATTAAAGGTGTCAAATGCTCTTTATATCTCACAGACTGTGGGATCTCTGAATTGGAATGAACCTCAGAGACCATTTCATCAAACCCACAGCTCAGGGGTGGGTAACCTGTGGCGTCAGTTTGTTCTGTGAAGTTTAGCTTCAATGAAAGGGCCACATTTGAGGACCTAGAGGGACACTCGAGGACGCAAGTTCCCTAGCCCTGCCATAGCTGAACCCAAAATTCTCTCTACAAAATGCTCAATAGTGGTATTCCAACTTTTGCTTAATGACCTCTAGTGAGAGTAGATTTGCCACTTTCTGAAGCATCCTATTCCACTTTTGTTAAAATCTACATCTAATTCTGCACTAAAAGGCCTATGATAACAAGTGTAATCACTCTTCCACACAACAACCTGTCAGATATCAAGTCACACCAATCATAGGTCATCCAACTTTAAGGACATCTAGCATTCATTTTATAGATAAGGCAAAGAGTCCTGAAAGGCTATGTCATTCATTCATAGCCACCCATGCTCTGAATTATGGATTCCTCCAGGTCTTCTTTTCTCCAGGTCAAAGAACCCTAGTTCCTTAAATTCTCATATTACGTGATGTCAAGGCCTTTAACTATTTGAGTTGCCCTACTCTAGACATTTCAATTTTACCTCAGTTTAATTTTTCGGATGTTAGGTATATTATTTTTTTCACAATTAATCCAGCAGTAAGACCACTTAATGACTTTCATTTGTTTTCAGTAAGTTCAACTTTTCTGCAGATATTTCATAAACTGATGAACTCTTTGATTCAGTGTTTCCTATGCAGACCAGACCTGCTGATACGTTTTCAACAGTACAAGGAACTTACAATGTGAAAACTACCTATTGAGGTGGGTTCACAGTTTTTCTGTAATTTATAGCTTTAGAAGCTGATTGGGGGTACTGAAAAGTTAAATGACTTCCCCAGGAACAGAAAGCTAATGTACATCAGATGCTGAACTTGAATCCATGTCTTGCTGACTCCAAGGCCCCTCTATTCAGTTGGCAAAATTGCCTTTTCTCAAAATTCTATATAAAGGATTAAAATACATTTTCTTACCTATTTTGATGAGTCTACTCAATTCATAGAGCAGTAGCTGGTTGTCTCCTCCTGTATCCAACCGTTGTTCTATATAGCTGTTTAGTTCATATACAACGCCTTGCATGTTTGTATCCCCGGTACTTTTGAGTCAAAAGTAATGAAATAAAATTAAAAAAAAATAGTTTAGCACAATGGAAATGTTCTTTGGTTAATGAAATATGCTATCAGTATGTTCTAAAATCATGTATTATATATACTTTTTAAAATTGGATATCATTCAATTTGCCAAAGGGCCAAAAAAAAAAAAAGGTCAAAAGGCCTAAAAAATTAACAAAAATCCTGCTCAGATTACTTCTTTCAGAGTGCCTACAAAATTACTATATATTGCTTCTGAATGATAAAAAAACACCTTAAAATTAATTTTTAGTGGTTTGGTAGATAATTCCATCATGAACTATGATTAGGGGGAATCATGACCTTGATTCCTAAGTTCACAAAATAGTGTTGATGTTGAAAGATTAATTTGTGGAAGTATCAAATTAAGCCAAACCCTCCAATCCAAATGATTTATGTAGATATGATCAAATTAACTTTCATGTTGAGTATTAACATAATTCAACAAATGTTCATTGAGTGCCTAGTATGTGCAGAGTACTGTGCCAGGCACTTCAGGGAATGCAAAAGATAAGCAATACAGTTTTTGTCCTCAAGGAGCACATAATCTGATTTTAACACATATTAACAGTCATCACAAGTGACACCCCTCTACCAATCACGGTGGTCAATCACAGGCTGCAAAAATTCTTAATTAGCTAGTATCAGGATCCTACCTGCAGCTGATGCTCCTTCATCCTTTTCTTAACCAGCTGCAGCCACCTTCCTCACATCTGCAGGCCTAGATTCTGAAACAACTTCCTACCTAGGCAGAAATTATAAGAGAGGGAAGAGAGAAAACTGTCTCTTCCCTAAGATCAAGCTCACTTAGGTTTATTCTGATCACTAACGCCATATGTTCAAACCACCTGATCAGCTGGCCTCCTGACTCTTGGTTGCTTGCACCTGAGATCTGATTATTCCTCCCCACATTGCCAATATCTCAGGTCCTAGACCTTTGGTTTGCTCTTGACTACAGTCAACCACTGGCTCTCTGTCTGATGGCATGATGATCTCTTGGCTCACAGACTGTTACACTGTACATGCCCAGATCTCTCCTTGCCCCATTCCCTCCCTGTATGGCTAGCCTGTGCAGCAGCTGCCAGGGCCTACATAGAAATCCATAATGATTAAGCCTCCAAGAAACTATACAATCATAGTTTGGAAAGGATCATGAAAAGTTTATCCAGCCTGCTTGGTCATCTATAGAGATTACACTACAATTGATCCAGGAAGATAAAAAGCTAGCCATCTCCAGAGGAAATATTGTATAGCATTTCATTCTAATGTCCCTTCATTCTGCAGTTTAAGCAACTTTGTTCTCACTTTTTTAGTCGTAGATCCTGAGATCACTGGTTACCATCCTCCGTAGTAGAGCCCCTCCATATACATGAAAGTTGACGTTATTAAATCATCCCTCAGTCTCCCCTTTTTCAGGATGGATAATCCCATTTCCTTTAACCTTTCAATCAACAAAATGAACATTTATTTTTGTTCAAGGCACTGTGAGGAATACAAAGAAATATATGACATGGACCTAGCCCTAAAGGAGCTTATGATCTACTTGGAGAGACAAGACATAAAGACAAGAATAGCTTAATAACAATATAAGACTTAAAGAATTAGATTGGTTCTAGATTTGTTAAATTTGAGGTGATAGTAGGACATTATTTCATTTATCTTATTTTCTAATCTCAATTTTATTTTTGTCTCTCATCTTAACTTTTGTATTTCTTCAGTTCATCAATTGTGGCAAATTTTTGCTTATCTATACAAAATCATTCAATACTTTCATAATTCATTAAATAATAAATATCTTCTGACTCCTCAGCAAAATATGGATGATATAATGAGAAAGTCTCAAAACTTTCCCTAGAGGGCTACTTGGCCCCCAACATATCAAGTTACTGAGGAAAAAGAGAAAAAAATAGCAAATGTGTAGAAAAGATTCTCTCTCCTCCCCCCCAGTCTTAGCCTCTAATATACTTCTGTGAACAGGTCTTAAGTACATGAAGGATTATTATACCTGTACTGAGATTAATAATCAGCTGTTTTCCATCTCCACTGAACAGGAAATGGGCTGTAGCACAATTTATTAGAGACCAAGAAGAATTTTCTGATCTTAAGGTTTAGCATTGGATGTCCGGGCCTCAGCTTCCTCATCTGTAAAAGGAAGGGGTTGGACTAGATGAACTAGAAAGTCCCTTCTAACTCTAATATTCTATGATTCTATGAACCAAGACTGATAGGACAGTCATTTTGAGAAAGGGGGTGGGTCACCTGAATGTGCACTTCTGTGCATACCTCAGACCACACTAATGGTTATAAACACAGACATAAATCACCTTGGACAGCAATCACACAGAAAAATGGTCCATATACTTGACACGTGAAAGTTGGCCACATGTTCTTTCTAAACCTTATAGCACTATATACATGTAAGTTATTATCTATCATATGCAAAGTATTATGTACTGCTACATTTCGTTACGGAGCAGATGGGACACAAAGGCAAATAAACAAGCTCCCTTGCTCTCAAGATCTTTATTTTCTATAATTATCATCAATAGATTATACCTTATGTTAACCTTAAGGTGATTTATAAAACTGCTAACAAAATAAATGAATCCAATTAAGTTTAGGCAAAGTTTTGATTTGGCAGAAAGATCTTCAACATTAAGTTTTAAACTGTGATCATAATAATTGGATATAGGAATAGATGTTTTTCCCCTTGGCTCCTCTAATACCCACAACAACACTGAATATGTTTCACAACAGATTATTAATCACAGAGTCAATCATTTATTTTCATGGACTGATTATGGAGTTGTTTATCCCTTTTGTCTTTGTTTTTTTCTGTTGCCTGCTTTGTACCCACTGTGTTACTTAGTAGTTCCACAAAATGGTCAACTTGGGAATTAAGAGGGGATAAAATTTCAATCATTCTTTTTCTTACTGACTTGGGGTTTTTTAAAAATTCAGATCATAAAGGAGAAAAAACAAACTGTCAGTCAACTCTGTAAAAAAACAAAGCTTATCTATCTGTTCTGGATTAAGGAAGGTTACAGAAGTAATTCAGTGATAATCACATACCTCTATAAAGATGTTCAGACTTTTCAAAGTGCTTATATATTTCTCCTTCATCATTTTAAAAACCTAAGCAAAGATACCAAAGTACCAACCATTCAAGAGTAATTAGACTTTAAATGCAGAATCCTACTTGGCCTCAGTTTACAATCCCAGTAGATAATCTGTTTTATTTAAATAAGGAGTGGGAAGTTTTTTCCCAGGGCCATTGCCCTCAAAGGTCAATTCAGAGCCAAATGGAAGGAAAATAAAACTTAATTTTATCAGTTGAGGTTATGATCACTTGTCTGTACAAGCGACAAATTAAATATACTTGGTTTTTAAATTACGACTAGGAACCACACTTTATCCAATAACAAAAAATAAACTTAAATTCATATTAACACCAGATAAAAAGCAAAGAGGGATGAAAGAAAGAGAAGGAAAAAGTTGAGAGAAACATAGGCAAAAATAGGAGAGAGAGAGAGAGAGAGAGAGAGAGAGAGAGAGAGAGAGAGAGAGAGAGAGAGACAAGAGAGAATAGGATAGAAAGGAAGAGAAGAAGAGATGAAGAAAAGAGAGATAGGAAGAGGTAAAGAAGAAGGGAGGAAGCCAGAACAAAAGAGTTGGAGACTATTTTGTATTTGCTGGAATGTGGGTAGAGAATAAGGGGTAATCTCAAGAAATTGTGAAGGCTAAAAATTAAACACTACTACCTCTGGCTGTTTACCTCTATGGAACAGGCTCTCTTATTACACCTCATGAATGTCAATTTGCTCACTATTATTCAAAGACTTTTAATCATTCTTTCTTTTTAATCCTTCCAAGTCTTCTTTCTCACTCCACATTCTGTCACTATCCTACTATAAAAACCCTATTACTGTGCACATTATTAGTCTCCTAAAACTTGTGCTTTCACTTTCTCCTCAGGCCAATCCATCCTTCATACTACAATAATCCTTTTTTCTGCATACACTTTATCATATCACTCCTTTGCTCAAAAATCTTCAGCGGCTTCCTATTACTTTCTTAGTAAGGTTCAAATTTCTTTCCCTAGGATTCAAGGCCCTACACAATTTAGCAAAATACCACCTGCCTAGGCTTCATTTATATTCTACATACTCTATGACGCAGCTAAATTGGACTTCTCTCTGCAAGCACTGTCCTCTGTCATTGGTCAGGAAATTCCCCATGACTGAAATGCTTGCCCATCCTCTTGCTGTAAAATATCTAACCATTCTTTAAAGTCCAGCAAGAATATTTTACCACACAGCTTTTCTTGACTCCCCCAGCCCCACCCCAAGCTGGTAATAAACCTTTTAGACCTTATGTAAAACTGTTTTCTAATTCTGTAATGCAGGTAAACTGTAATGTTGTGCACTGGTAGCTCTCTCTGCTGGGCATCACTTTATAAGACTTCAAGGAGTTTTATCAAACCTTTGCCTCTCTGTCCACACCTAAGGTGCTAGAATGTACTAGTTGCTTAGCAAGCATCAGGTGCATTACATTTACTCCGAGGACGCTATAGTACTTGAGAGTCAAATGACATCAATATGAAATACAGACTAAAGGCTGTAAGTTCTCCCACCTCTCAATTTAATTTTCTCCATAGTTCCAACATATTTTGAATGTCAATGACAATATATTTGGGGAAAAAAAGCATATGAAAACATCATTGATCAAAACAAACCAGTCATGTATAATAAGTGTCAGGCTTTAGAATATTTCATTAAAGCTATAGATTTGGGGGGCAGAGCCAAGATGGCAGAGTGAAAGCAGTGACTTCCTTGAGCTCTCTCCCAAACCCCTCCAAATACCTATAAAAAAATGGCTCTAAACAAATTCTAAAGCAGCAGAACCCACAAAAAGACAGAGTGAAACAAATTTCCAGCCCAAGACAACCTGGATGGTTGATCAGAAA